TCCACCATGGAGTTGATTACCAGTCTCATCATGGGGAATACTACATCCAGCTGCCCAGCCACTCAACCAGGCCCAGCCAAGTTGACACACAAACGTAACCACCACGGGTGGGTGATAGGGTTGGTGGAACTCATGATGAGGACAATGGAGGTCATGATGAGGGTGATGGAACTCATGGTGGAGATGATGGCGGTCATGGTGGGGGTGTGAAGCTCATCATGGTGATGGGGCTCATGGTGGAGCTCATGGGGTGATGGTGGATGTGGTGGTTCAGTTTGTATGTCAACTTGGCTGGGCCTGGTTGAGTGGCTGGGCAGCTGGATGTAGTATTCCCCATGATGAAACATAATCAACTCCATGGTGGAATCTACTGGGAGCAGCTGAGTAGCTGCCTTAGGGATGTGGTCTGCTTCCTGTATGTAAGCAGAAGCCTTGGGGAATGATCACTAGCTTATGGCACGTTTGAACCCTGCATGTAGCCGTGTCACTGTTCAGCAGCCTGCCATGCTCTGCCAATCTTGGAACTTTCAACAGACTTAATGGCCTGCCGTGTGGTTTGGTAACACTGGGACTGTGCCTTTTTACTTGTCAACCTTGGGGCTTCTCAGCCTCAGCAGCCAGCAGCTGTCTGAGTGAAGAAACGCCTCTAGCTCCAGTGGGCCGGGAGCAGGAGGCAGAGCTGGACCCCAAGGTTGAGGGGCTCTCACCCAGCCCCTAGAGCCTGGCACTTTGAACTGGGACTTAAAGCCTCCAACCTGTGAGAGAATAAACTCCAGTTTATTCAAGCATCCCATTGGTGGTGCATTCCTGTCAGAGCGGCACTAGGAACCAGAACAGTGGAGCTCATGGTGAAGAGGATGGGGCTTTTGGTGGGATGATGGGGATGATGGAACCCATGAAGGTGGTGGAGCTGACAGCAAGGGTGACGGGGCTTGTGGTGAGGATTGTGGAGCTTATGATGGGGATGTGCCTGTTATGAGATGATGGGGTTCATGGGGCATATGATGGAGCCCCTGGTGGGCTGATGGGACTCATGAAGGTGGAGTCGATGATGAGAATGATGGGGCCTATGACAGGGTGGTGGGGCTCATGGTGGGGATGGTGGGGCTCATGGTGGGGATGGTGGGGCTCATGGTGCGGATGTTGGGGTTCATGAAAAGAATGGTGGAGCTTGTGGTGAGGATTTCAGTGCTTCTGATGAAGATGGTGAAACTCATGGTGCTATGGATTAAATTATGTCTCTCCAAATATGTGGTTCATGGTGGGGAAGATGAAACTCTCATGAAGGGTAGGTAAATCCCAACCCCTATATCTGTGTTAAGGAGCTCTACTGGTGCAGTGGGTAATGCATTTGACCTTCTAACCAGATGGTTGGCAGTTCAAATCCACCAGCTGCTCCACAGGAGGAAGATGAGGCAATCTACTGCTGTAAAGATGTATAGACTCCATGGCAGTGTGTATATCTGTGTTATAATCTCATTTCGGAATGGGTTTGTGTTATTTTAATGAGACAGGGTTAGTATTGAGTGTATTTTAAGTCAATCCCTTCTGAGATATGAAAAAGACTAAAGGAGGAATCAAGGGACACAAAGATGGGGCAAGAGACACACGGAGCTACATAAAGATGGCCTGGAGCAGAGGCTCGGGAGAGACAAGGGCCTTCCCATAGAGCTGACAGAGCGCGAGGGAAGGCCTTGCCCTAGAAGTGGCACTCTGAATGTGAACTGCTAGCCTCCTGACTGCGCGAGCATAAATTTCTGTCCATTAAAGCCACCCCCTTGTGGTCTTTGTGTCGTAGTCGCACTAGAGAACGAAGACTATGGGGAGGACAGAGTTTGTGATGAGGATGGTGGGCTCATGGTAAGGGTGATGGATTCACGATGAAAAAATCCAGGTGGCAGTTAGTCCACTGCAACCTAGCAAGGGAGGGACCAGGATCCCCATTTGTCAGGAGAGGAAACACCCGCCCTGAGTCACACAGCAGGGCAGGGCAGGAGGCCAGAGGTCTCCATGGAGGCGAGGGGGGAGTCTGATGCTGGAGGGTACAGGAAGCTGGACTCCAAGCAGCAACCCCACGACCAAGATGTTTTTCTCCACAGATGGCCCCGGAAGGCCTCCTGAGCCCAGCCTTCCAGGTGAGCCCCGCCCACGTGTCCCTCCCCTAGCCCTGTCCCAATGCCCGACGCCCAACTCAGAGCCCCTCTCATTCTTCCCACAGAACTCCACTTCGCGCTGCTGGTGGCTGGGGTGGTGGTCGTGACAGCTTTGGCGCTGGGCGGTGGGATCTGGGGCTGCAGTCGTTACTGCCGGAAGGATTCAGGTAAGGGCCTAGGTAACGGCGGCGACCTCGCCCCCTCGTGGCGGAGGCGGGAACTGCAGCCGCTTGACGTGATGGAGCTAGTTCCCCATGGGACTTAAATACCGGCCCTTGGAAGGGGGTGAGGGGATGGGCTGCAGACCGGGGAGGAGAGGAGGTCGATGGAGAAGGTTCTCTTCTGGACCCATGTTTTTTAGTTGCAGACACAGCCCCCAGAGATGGGTCAGGCCCGCTCTCTTGAGTTACTGTCACCTTTTGGCCTGTCACTCCCACCTCAGGAAATACTTTCTACAGCAATGTCCTATACCGGCCCCGGGACACCCCAAAGAAGACTGACGCCTGTCCTGGGAAAGAGAAAGTTCTGGGTCCCCCAAGATCGGATCAGAAAGTACAGAGTCTCTATTCAATCTCTTTACTCCGGCCCCACACCCCCCAGCCACATCTGCCCCCCAAACCTTGCCCCAGATCAAGGCCCAGCCACCCCATATCTGTGATTAAGGTCTCTCCCAGCCCAGGTGCCTTTGAGCGGCCTTTGCCAAAAGGGTCCCCTAGAGTGGGAAGGGGAGCCTGAGCCCCCGAGGACAGAGGAGGGACCCCACCAGTGGCTCAGGCTGTGTGGAGATGTAACTGACACTGGGCCTCCCCTCCCCCTGGAGCACTCAATAAAGTCTGGTGAAGAAGGCAAAGCCTGAGTCTGTAGCGGTTTGGTGGTTCGGTGCCAGAACTCTTGCCTTCCACGCAGGAGACCCAGGCTCTGTGCTCTGAATGTTCCTCATGTGTGGCCCCCACCCGTCCGTCCACGGAGGCTTGGCCGTCACCAGGACCCTGGACAGGTTTCAGTGGAGCTTCCAGACTGCGAGAGACTAGGAGGAAAGGCCTGGTGATTGCTGTCCAAAACTCAGTGAAAACCCTGTGGACCGACTGAGGGGAGGGTGCAGCAGCAGACAGGGTCCTGTTCCACTGTGCACGGGGTTGCTGTGAGCTGGGGGCTGGCTGAATGGCCGCTACCAGCAGCAACGTTGCCTAGAGTAAGCCAGGAAGTGGGTAGGCCCGGGTGGTCACAGAGACAAACTCAGTAAGTGGAAGGCCAGGTGGGAAGAGAATGGCAGATGTGGGGCATCCCTTGGCCAGAAACACAGCCACCCCCTCCAGTGAGCCCTCCTGGATTTAAGCCTAGGTGCATCCTCTTGATAAACTCCTTTGTGGCATGAACACGGATTATGGTGGTTGTTGAGTGCTGTGAAGTCAGTTTTAACTCACAGTGTTCCCATGTGACAGGGTAGAACTGCCTCATAGGGTTTCCTAGGCTGTAATCTTTACAAGCACAGATTGCCAGGTCTTTTCCTGCAGAGCCGCTGGGTGGCTTTGAACCACTGACAGTTGGGTTAGCAGCTGAATGATTATGTCATTTATTTGTTGGTTACTTGTTTAATGTCAAGGAGCTCTGGTGGTGCAGTGGTTAAGGCATTTGACTGCTGATCAAAAGGCTGGTGGTTCAAAGCCACCTGCTGCTCTGCAGGAGAAGGATGAGGCAGTCTGTTTCCACAAAGATTTACAGCCTTGGAAACCCTATGGGGCAGTTCTACCCTGTGGTCACTATAAACTGGCATCAGCTAGATGGCCGCGGTTTGGTTTTTGGCTGGCTTAATGTCCATCTGCTCCACTGGCTGGAATTACATCTGTCCTGTTCACAGCCTCATCCCTAGTACCCAGTAGCTAATGACACCACAGAGACAGAAGGGTCCATCTGGGGGCCCAGAGCTCCCAGAGGTAGTTGGAGAGGGACCCTGTCGCAAGGGGACTCTATGACAACTCGCAAGCCCTCATGGGGACACAAAGGCACAAGGAGGCAGAGTCCCCAGCCACCCGGCAGTGCCCTGTGCCGGACCTCCCCCCCCCCACTGATATCTGCCCCCCCAGGCAGCACTGGAGATAGGGGAGGAAGGGTAGGTCGGGGGTTCCCTGGTGTTTGCCGGCCTCTGGGGGTCTGTTGTCCGACTGTCACCTTGAAGTGACAGCAGCTGGGCCCTGCTCCCCTCCCCCACCTCTGCTGTTTCCATGGGGACAGATGTCTTTTCGGCAGCTTGGCCTGACTGGATGCGGGGAGGAGCGAGTGGGGGTGGGGCTGGCCTGAGCGCTTACCCCACCCTTGGTTTCTCCGTCTTTGTATCTGCGGGGTCTTCCACGCCTTGGTCCCTGCTCCGGGGTTTCCCTCTGCCTCCAGGTCTCTGTCCCCATGCCCAGCTCCAGCTCTCTGAGCTTTACCTTTTTCCTGTGAGTGACTCAGACCCTCAACCCCAGCTCCATCCCCAAATCCAGCAACCAGGAAGCCCTGGTGGCACAGTGGTTAAAGCACTCAACTGTGAACAGAAAAATCAGTGGTTCAAACCCACCAGGCACTCAGCGGGAGAAAGATGAGACAGTCTGCCTCTGTAAAGATGACAGCCTTGGAAACCCTCTGGGGCAGTTCCACTCTGTCCGCTAGGGGTGCTGTGAGTCGAAATTGACTCCTTGGCAATGGGTTTACTTTTTGTTTTTTGAAGGGGTCTCGTCCTTCTGTCATCCTTTAGCAGAACCGATACCTCTGGACAGCTCTTGTGGGCCCTTCCAGCACCCCACTGGACATCCACACCTATGGCCCGTTCACACATGGGGACACAGAGGGGCATACGCACACATTGGTGGTCTAGGAACACACCTCCCTCCCTGTTGCCCAGTAAGGACATGAAGGAGACAATAATTTATTAATTTTCCAGGGCAAAGGAGGGCTTTGAGACAAAAGACTGGGCCCTGGGACCCAAAAGGGGGCAGAAATGGCGGCCCTGATATAGGACTCAGCACCTGAAGTGGAGAATCTGTCCATCTGTCTGTCTATCCCAGACTGCAAAGACCTCCAGCCGTGGTGCCCAGCCAGCTCCGGGCCCCTTGGTGCAGGGCAGCCGGTCAGGGGGTCTGCGTGGTGACTGGGTAGAGCAGGGCCAGGTGTTCGGCGCCCTGCACAGGCAGTGGCCGTGAGCTGTAGTGGAGGACCAGCTCGGGCACGCTGGGGAAGGGGCCGCTGTGCTGGCCTAGCACCACCTGATGCTCGCGGGTCCGCGTGAATTTCAGATGCAGGAAGCCCTGGCTGCTCCTAGGGAGGGGACACAGGCATCAGACGGAGGCCCGAGCACCCCAGAGCACTCCCTCCCAAACCCTGGGGCCCAGGCACTGGCCCCCAACCCCTCTGGCACCCAGGGGGCACATGCTGTTCGGGCCTGAATCATGTCCACCTAAAATGGTGGTGGTGGTTCTGTCAATTCAGTTCTGACTCGGAACAACCCATGTGACAGAGTAGAGCTGTCCCCTAGAGCTTCTTCCTAGGCTGTCATCTTTACGGGAACAGGTCATTAGGCCTTTCTCCCGCAAAGCCAGTTTGGTGGATTCGAACCACCAACCTTCAGGTTAGTTGTTGTCGTTAGTTGCTATTAAGTGGATTCTGACTCATAGCAACCCCACATGACCGAGTAGAATTGCCCCATAGGGTTTCCTAGACTCTCATCTTTATAGGAGCCAGGTCAAGTGCAAACCCCTGGAGGACCCCAGTTTGATTCCCAGCCAGCACCCATCTGTCAGTGGAGGTCTGTGTGCTGCTAGGGTGTGAACAGGCTTCAGTGGAACTTCCAAACTGAGACAGACTAGGAAGAAAGGCCTGGCAGCCTGCTTTTGAAAATCAGCCAATGAGACCCTACGGATGGTGCCCGGCTTCCATTACTGACTGCTCTCATCAGGATCACAATGGAAGGTCCTGGGCAGACTGGGAACAAAATATAGAACAAAAGTCAAAATCATAAAAGAAACCCAGACTGGTGGAACCTAGGGCCCTTAGACAGCCTTCAGACTCAGAAGTGAACCTGCCCCCAGGGATCACCGTTCAGCCAATCAGCAGCCAGGCCTGTCAAGTGAACAGTGACACCCGTGAGGGACTCAGTCCTCAGAACAGCCAACCACAGGAGGCCAGAAGGGCAGCGTTTGCCCAACAACGAAGCTCAGGACAGGACGCAGGAAGGGGCAGGAGAGAAGGGCAAACAGAAACGGAACCCAGGAAGTGGGAAGAGTGCTGTTACGTTGATTAATGGCACGAAACAAAACGTGTGTGCATTGTTCAATGGGGAACTAACTTGCTTGGTAAACTCTCACCTAAATGACAAGGAAATGTTCAAAAACGAAAAGATTAAAAAAAAAAAAAAAAAAACTATGGGGCATAATAGTCCGATTGGTGCATGGGGTTGACATTAGTCAGGCAGCTACTAACAGCAACAGGCCTGGAGAGCAAGAGCCCCAGTGCCGGGAACAGGGCCTGGGACACAGTGGGTCTTAGTAACCATGTATTTAATGAAGAGGATAACCACAGTGGCCAGGGGCCTCCAGGACCTTTTTAGGGTGACTCCAAGTGCTCTCAGACTCACCCTATTCGCTCTCCAAACTTCCTGAGCCTATGGGCTACCCCTGGGCTCCCCATTACTCAACCCTGAGTCTGTCCATCCTTGTGGATGGAATGGCCCAGAACCAGGGACTCATTTTATCATCCTCTCTGATATTAACTAAGAAGCTCTGAGGTCGCAGTGGGTAAGGTCTTGGGCTGCTAACCAAAAACGGTCAGTGGCTTGAGCCTACCAACAGCTCTGCAGCAGAAAGATGAGGCAGTCTGCTTCCATAAAGATATAGAGCCTTGGAAACCCAGTGGGGGTCGCTATGAATTGGAATCGACTCAATGACAGTGAGTTTGGTTTTGGTCTAATATTAACTAAGCACTCACTGTTTTCCAGGTACTGTTCCCCACCTTCTCCACCTATTAGTTCATTTAATTCTCCAAACACCACTGTGAAGTTGACCCTCACTTTAGAGTTTGAGGAACTGAAAGCCCAGAGAGGTTGAGTCACTCAGCTAAGGTCATACAGCTCAAATGTGGCAGAGGCAGGATTTGAACCCAAAGCCCTCTTCCAATCTTGCCCTCTCAGGAATCTCACGAGAGTTTGATAACCAGACACACTTAGAATCTTAGCAACAGAAGCACTTAGACCCAGGGTCTCAAACTCAAATGCCCACAGAGTCACTGTGAAATGAACTTCTGGTCTCAAAGACAAAGGGACATACTTCAACTTTTGGAGTGAGGGAGTCCAGAGGAATCTTGGACACCTACTTTCTCCCTGTCTCATGCAAAGCCTAGGTTTTCTGTATGGCTTCCACTCCATCTTCTTGCTTACCTCCAGTGACGGGGAGCTCATTCCCAACTGGAATCATGATAGTGCCTCCCTGGAAGCTCCGCCCATTGGTCTGAAAGCACCACCCACTGGCTTCAAAATCTCCACTCACTGGTCCCAGAAAGCTCTGCCCACTGGCACCAAAAGCCCCACCTACTGGCTCTGGAAGCCCTGCCCCTGGTCTCAGAAACTCTACTCACTGTTCTGGTAAAGCCCCACCCATTGCTCATGAAATCCCTACCCTCTGCTCCCACTGAATTAACCGCAGAAGTGTGAGCATGCAGTCCTGTGGCCCTCTGTCCCTCCAGGTGCTGAGGCCTCACCTGAGGGACAGGGAGCAGTCCTGGGGGCTGGTCTGGCTGAGCCGCACGAGGTAGCTACCCTCCTTGCACAGGGACAGCAGGTTCTCAGCATCCGCCCGACTCAGCGGGCCGTGGAACCACCTGGGGGTGCGGGAGGGGGGCAGGCGGTTCATGAAAGGCGATCCCCCTTCAAACTGGCCTCAAACACTGTGGGTGCCCAGACTGGCAACATCCATAGTGCTGTCAGGTGAGGAAGAGTCCCCTGGACAAGAGGGGCCTACAGCAGATGTGGCTTTGTGTCCCTAAGAGGCAGCTGAGCCAGGTCAACGTGGCGCTGCTGCCTCTGATTGTATAGTACACCTGCCTTTGATTGTCACAGCCCCTCTCGGCTGGGTCTCCAAGTGTCCCCGGCCCCTCTCCCAACTCCCCAACTTCAGTCACTTGCATATCACTTTCATGACTTTTACCACATTCACAGCCCACCCACCCCTGTCATTCCTGACTGAATATTTTTCTCACATACACCCAGTGATGGGGAGCTCATTCATGTGCTCATGGTTAGCATTGTGAGAAAGGTGTTAAAGACAGAGGAGCACCACACAGAGACGTGCCCTTCAGTTCTATTGAGAGACAACTGAGAAGAGAATAACTTCCTCTGTCTTGGTGTTAGGAGCTCTGGTGGCGCGGTGCCTAAGGCACTTGACTGCTAACCAGGATGCTGGCGGTTCAAACCCACCAGCCACTCCTCGGAAGGAAGACAGCAATCTACTTCCGTAGTGATACTGCTTCAGAAACCCAAGGAGGGGTCGCAATGAGTCGGATCCGACCTGATGGCAGTGAGTTTGGTTTGGTCTCAGTGTTTATCAGCCAGAAGTCTCTGTGTGGCAGCACCAATAAACACTCTGGTGCCCACAGGGCCCGTTCTGGGGATGCAGAGAATCCCTCAAAGAGTTCCCAGGCTGCAAAGACACATAGGACTGAGGGCACCAGGCTCAGTTGGCACAACAAAATACATAAAAGCCTTGTTCTCATCCTACACTGGTGAATAGCGATTGGGGTCTTAAAAGCTTTCAAGCAGCCATCTAAAATGCAGCTAATGGTCTTCTAGTTTTGGAAGCGAAAAGGCTTGCAAAAAAAACAATGACATTTGGAAGCAATCAGCCCTAGGGCATGTGGCCCTGGAGACCAGAAGAACTAGATGGTGCCCAGCTACCAATGCCATCCACTCAGGAAAGGATCAAATCTGCAGATCCTGGAGAGACTGGGAGGAAAAACATGGAACAAAATTCAAAAACTCAATAATGACCAGAATTACTGGTTGGATGGAGTCTGGTGGGACCCCCAGTACTGTGGCCCTGGGATACATTCTGGGCCTGGAATAAAACTCGCTCCCAAGGGCTAGCTCTCAGGCCAATAGTTAACAAGATGTACGTGCAGACCACTCAACCCAGGGTGACGCACCCACATGCTCTATGGAAATGCATCCCTTGGAGCAATCGACCAAGGGGCACCAGAGGGGCAACATTCCCATGGAGGAAATGCAGGACACACAGGAGGGCATAACTATGAGGGGCGTGGGGGGGTGTTACTAGACAGGGAGGGGAGGAGACTGGGTTAGGGCTGGGGATGGTAAATGGGGAGTGACACTAAATGTAGAGGTAATGTTGAATGGAAAACAAACTCTGTAAACCTGCACCTGAAGCACAATCACTCAATCAATAAAAATACAGAGAAGACCCAGACCTCTCAGCCTGTGCTCCCCAACCCCAGCTCAAAGTTAAGACCCCCTCTCCCCCAACCCTGCTCCTCCCAGTCCCATCCCAAGTTTTCTGAGGGTCAACATGATTTCTGTCTCTTTGCTGTCAAGCTGCAAGCCCCACCTGTTATGGATTGAATTTTGTCCCCCAAAATGCGTGCTGGGGTCCTAACCCCTGGATCTGTGGAAAGGAGCCCTGGTGGTGAACCAGTTAAGTGCTCAGCTGCCAAGTGAAACGTTGGGTGATTCGAAACCACCAGCAGCTCTACAGGAGACAAACCTGGCGATCTGCTCCCGTATAGATTCCAGTCTGGAAAACCTTGAGGGGCAGTTCCACTCTGTCCTCTAGGGGCGCTGTGAGTCGGAATCGACTCCATGGCAGCGGGTGTGGTTTGGGCTTTGCTTCTGTGAAGATCACAGCCTAGGAGACCCTCTGGGGCAGTTCCACTCTGTCCTCTAGGGGCGCTGTGCGTCAGAATGGACTCCAGGGCAGTGGGTGTGGTTTGGGCTTTGCTTCTGTGAAGATTGACAGCCTTGGAAACCCTATGGGGAAGTTCCACTCTGTCCTCTAGGGGCGCTGTGAGTTGGAATCAACTCACCTACAATGACCACACACACACCTGTGGATGCAATCCTGCTTGGAAATAGGGTTTTGTTATGTTAATGAGGACACACTCGTGTGTGGGATCACTTCTGAGTTATAAAAAGAGTAGATTAGACAGACAGACAGACACACACACACACACACACTGGGGAAGGCAGATGCCAGGTGGCGCTCATCAAGGATAGATGCCTGGAGATACAACAAGGAAAGAATCCGTGAAGGGCCTGATAGAAACTGTGAGGCAGTAAGTTCCTGATGTTTAAAGACGCCCACTTGTGGTATTTCCGTTACAGCAGCCCCAGGAGATTAAAACACCACCCAAGTGGAGAGAGGAAATTCTCTTATACTTTGAGCCAGGCAGCTCTTAGGGGTTTTGCGCTTTAGGTTCAGAGAGGTTAAGTGACTTGCCCAAGGCCACACAGTAAGGAGCCACAAAGAGCAGGAATTTGAACCCAGAACCTGATACCATTGAGAGATTTTGCCTTTCTGGGTGTCTGGCACACAACAGGGGTTGGGACCCCAATAAGAGTAGCTGAAGAAATGAATGAAGTGAATGAATGACTCAAAGTTCTCAGGGAAGGGGAAAAAACTAATCCTTTGCCTGAGGAGTCTGTGTCTGGTATGAAGCTGGGAAGGATTCAACGGGACTCTTGAGCGTTGTTTCCCTACTCACGGTTGTTTCTCCAGGGGCAGGGCCAGGTCCACGCGCTCTGCAGGCTGGGGGCTCCTTGGCGGGGGTCTCCGGAGCTCCTTGGCCAAGCCCGGGGTCCTTTCCCACTCAGGGCTGTCAAACTGTACTGGAGGGGAGGATTAGAGAGGAAAGGGTTAATTAAGTTTGCCCTACCTTATGGGGGCGGAGCTAGGATAAGGCAATGGAATTTCAGTCAGAAGGCAGTGCCAACTTGGAGTAGCCTATCACAGTCCAGAAAAAGAGAGGGCTGAGTTTAAGGCCAAGAGCCCTGGTGGGTGATTTGGTTAAAGCCTAGAATGCCAACTGAATGGTCTGCGGTTGGGAACCACGAGCCCTCTGTGGGCGTGGGCGAAAGATCTGCCAGTCGGCTTCTGTAAAGATTTATAGCCTTGGAAACCCTATGCAGCAGTTGTACTCTGTCCTATAGGATCATGAGTGGGAACCAACTAGACTGGACATCAGTGGGTTTCTGAGTTTAGGGTTTAACGGAAGGGGGTAAGATTGGCACAAGGAGGGACCAATTGACTTTCAGAAGAAAAGGGGTGTGGTCATTCATAAATCAGTAGGTATGAAAGGCGTGGGGCCACGTCTTGAGCGAAAATCCAAATCGGAGAGTAGGGGGTGGGGCTAGAGGGCCTGGGTTGGAGGCTTGCGTTGGGGGCCAGGACTCCTGAGGCACTGAGCCCTTGGGACAAAGTCAGGTTCACACAACTCTTCAGCACCCAGTTATTTTATTTCTTAAAGCTGACCTTATTATTATTCCTTTTTATGGAAGAAGAAACGAAGGTCCAGAGATTTATCCAAGCTTACCTAACTCTGCTAGGAATTGACCCTAATTCTCCAAAGAACTGCTGTTTTTCTGCTGCTCACAACAGCTCCTAAGTCATGGAACACTCTTGCACTCAATTTGCAAGCCCCCTGCTTGGTAGGTACTATAACAATTCCCATTTTACAGACAGAGAAACTGAGACTCAGGGAGTGACTTGCCAATAAGTGTCACAAACCCAGGTCTAGTCCGACACCAAATACATATTCCTGTTCCTGAACTCTATTGAGCAGAATAAGGATGTTACCTTCCATTCTAAAAGGTGTTTTAGTTTCAAGGAAGATGGCATGGTTTCTCCGG